AGAGAGAGAGAGAGAGAGAGAGAGAGAGAGAGAGAGCTTGGTGACATTTGGATCCAGACTCGACATTGGACTTTAGACATTTTGAAGAGGGATTATTTGGGACTTGTAACGAGACTTGGTGTTGACGACTTTCCCATCTCCCCCTTCCTCTTCGTTGTCTGATCCCCTCCTCTTCGTCTGTGTATATCTGGACCTGGCGCCTCCTTCCTGTGTATAGCGCCAGGCCCCTTCACAACTTGTGATGAGCATGATGTATGTTTGGTCTACGTTGCAACATTATTGGGCTAGTCATTAGTATTCTAGCATTCTGTTGCGCTGTCTTGCACTACGTGGTAGAGGTCAGTCCCGGTCAGGTCAGGACTTGTATCTAAAGTCTTCCCTGCGCTATAAAACACCATTTTGTATGTATCGGAATGCACATTGCTTGTTGAGATTCCACTTGCACTGCATTGTCCATTCAGTCCTTTTTATCACCTTTCGGATCCTCGGTTTATATGTACATCGCCCGACTGGGCATGTAACAGTTGGTATCGGAACACCGCACGTGAATCAGGACAACCCGATCTGACAAGTGTGCGAGGCCTTGGTAGCTGATTAGTCTTGATTGATTGATTAGAGCCCCCAAAATCATGATTTTGACCTCACTGCCGAAAATCGATTTTTTTTTCCTTTTCCTTTTTTCTTGGATTTTGTTTTCTCGCTATTTCTGTTGTGGAAAATCGCAATAGTGCAACATCTGAAATTTCCGTTTTCGTTTTTCTTCTGAAAATTCGAAATTTCATTCTTAGAAATCTGGAATATCTTTCTTTTCGAAAATTTCAATTTCCTTTTGCAATTTCCTGTTATTTGAAACATCTACAATATTTTTTTCCGAAATCCGTTTTTTTTTAAAAACGGTACGGGAATCCCTCTTGCAGTTATCATTCTCCAACTGCGCGTACTCTCATCTGAGTAATTCCGAATATTTGCTGTATTTTTTTTTTTTCGGAATTCTCATCGGACAATCATTTGCAGTCTCAGCGTTCGAAATTTTTCCTCCGGGTAATTTCGCACTTCAGGGGGAACTGGGAGGCCTACTGAACTTGCAAACGAGTATTTTTTTCTTCTTTTCCTCGAATTGTTTTTGCAAAGTTCAAACTTTTCTTCTTGATTAGTGTCTCCTTATCTGGGTGATTTATCCCACCCACCCCTCCCCACCTATGTTGTTGCCCCCTCTGGTCTTACCTTCTCTATCTGTCTCCGGGTACCCCCTGCGGCGGCATTGGTGAGTTGCCACGTCAGCAGGCCACGTCAGCAGACCACGTCAGTAGGCCATGTCAGCAGACCACGTCAACAGGCCACGTCAGCAGACCACGTCAGCAGGACACGTCAGCAGGCCAAGTCAGCCGACAACAGTACCACGTCAGCAGGCCTCCGGCCTGGTCTATGCTTTTGCTCTCGCAAACAACCGTCATGGACCGGAAGTCCGGGGAAACGGATGAGGCCTATCAGGCCCGGATGCTGCTTCTGATTACCGAAGCTAAGCAACGGTCGGATACAGTAGCAGCCGCAGCAAAGCAAAAGGCAGAGGACGCCGAGAAGGCACGTCTGTTGGCAATCGAACAACAACGCCAGCACGACGAGGCAGCAGCAAAGGCTGCCGATGAAGAACGAATTCAACGACGCGAGAAGATATTCAACGGAGAGCGAGCTTTGCTCACAATGGCAGCGGATTGGCGGGCCGAGGCCGAGAATGGCAAGATGGAAGAGAGKGAAAACAAGATCGCTCTACTCCTCTCCCATCTCACGGACCTCCTGGCAACATGCATTGCACAGCAGGAGGAAGTCCACAGCCTCGACGACGCGTTGGCCCAAGTCCACAGTCGCCTCCAGCAGCTGGAGCAGCGACCCGTCGCCGCCCCCGATGCCAGCTCTTCCAACACCTCCGATCGGCTCGAGGCATTGGAGATTGACGTCGGCTCCCTCAAGGACGGCGTGCAGTTACAGCAAACCGCAATGCAACAGTTGGAGCAGCGGATCTGTACTGCCGCCAACCACTCGAGCTCGAAACTGCACGAGACAACTCTAAAGTTCGATGGGCAGGATATCTTCTGCGACTCAATGAAGACAGACCCGATTCCATGGTTCCGCAAGTTCGAGCTCACATTGCAGCTACACTACATCAAAGAACACAAGCACCACGCGTACTTATACTCCTGGTCGGGGGGCGCGTGCCAAGCATGGTTGGACAATCTCTTGTCCAAGTATGGAGTGGTGGCTGCCGACTTGCATACCAAGATCAGTTGGGATGATCTAAAGGCGGCGTGGCATAAGCGGTTCCAAGTAGAGCTGCCAGAGATCGAGGCAATGGACAAGCTGATGGTCTTCGAACAAGGCATGCTGCCAAGCCTTGACTGGATTGCCGAGTACCAACGCTTGAAATCCGTCCCAGATATTCAAATGGGCTTCAAAGCCATCAAACACTACTTCATCTCGAGGTCGTGTCCGGCGTTGGGCAATGCCTTGACTCACGTCGAGGACACCCTGACGACACCGGCAGAACTCTTCGACAAGGCTGCACGGATTATTGTCACAAACAAGGAGGCCAAGAATCTCTAGCGTTTGTCTGCGCCAGGCCTGAGCAGAGATCAACATCGACCGAAAGTGGCCGTGGTCGCGGCGGCAACGCCAAACGACCAAACTAGCGAGGCCGTGTCTGCCAATGAAGGGGACAGACTCGCAGCCGCTCGGGAAGGTGGCCGCCCCGGCAAAGGCCGAGGATGCGGCAAGGCGAAGACAAACACCGCATCTAGCCCCGGGCCCGGCGCAGCAGCCCCAGCCCCATGGTCCCATTACAGTCTCTCTGAGCAAGCATACAAGACACGCACGAGATTCCGCTATTGTCTGTGGTGTAACAACGATCTCCACGACACAATGGTCTGCCAGTCGAAAGGCAAGGGCAAATCGGGAAACTAAGCACCGCCGGGAGTTACTCGAGGACACTCTCAACGCCTTCGGAACCGGTCACTTCGCGGGTGACCGCCCTTCGTTCCGAGGCACATACAGAAGTCGATAGTCCTGCTCTTCTTTATTCTTTTGAGGACTATGCTGCTCGGCTCGTTCCTAAGCTGGGTACTCGTGCTCAAGGACAAGACGTGTGTGCGGCATCTTCTCCGTCCGGCAACGGCAACTTATCGTCTTCAAGTGGTTCTTCATGGGATTGGCGCACTAGTTCAACATAGAGGTATTGGACCCGCTCACGTCCGAGGATTTCGCATGGCTTCCTCTCCCGACCGCGGGCCGCTTGCCGGGACCGCAATGCGCAATATTATGCGCTCATCTTCACACATACCTATCCTTCTATGCACCACCAACTTCACCGACGGATGACGAAGTCGCGGTGGGGGACATCCTTGCATATGTTACCAAGGTGGCCCGCGAGTTTCGCAATCAGTGGTACGATGGCAACAACGCACCGCTCCTCTATGTCCGCATCCAAGTTGGGCAAGCGTCCTGCAGCGCTTTGCTGGATAGCGGCGCGTCTCGCAATTTTATGAGCCAAACCTTTATGCAAAAGGCTGGCCTTGGCGCACAAGTTCGAAGGAAGGCAAACCCGACGACGATCAAGTTGGCGGACGGAAAGACGCAGCAACTTATCGACCGCTACATCAAGGCCGTACTGGTGTATTTTGCACTTCATGCATGCAAACCGGTGACATTTGACATTTTGGACACGAACTTCGACATTATTTTGGGAATGCCTTGGCTTGCAAGTGCGGATCACACGGTCAACTTCCATCGGCGGACTCTTACCGTTCGCAACGCCTTCGGCGCCGAAGTGTCGTGTACTATTCCTCTTCCGCACCCTTCGATTCGGTGCCAAGTGGTGACGGGCAAATCATTCCGGGCTACTTGTGCTTACGAGCAACCCGACGAAATCGGCCTATGTTTGTACGGACCGTCGCGGTAGCCGACTCTTCACCCACGAACTTGGCTTCGGACCCCCGTGTGGTGCGGTTGCTCGACGAGTTCGCCGACATCTTCGAGTCACCTACCGGTGTGGTGCCGGATCAGCCGATCTCTCACGAGATCATTCTTGAGGCCGGTGCCGTGCCGCCGAAAGTTTGCATTTACCGCATGAGCGAGGAGGAGCTTACGGTCCTCCGCGCACACTCGAGCACTTGTTGGACAAGGGCTGGATCCGCCCTAGTAGCTCTCCATATGGAGCGCCGGTTCTCTTCGTACAAGAAGAACAAGGATCTACGATTATGCATCGACTATCGCAAGCTCAACGCGCAAACCGTCAAGAATGCAGGGCCTCTTCCTCGCATCGACGATCTTCTTGAGCTATTGGGCGGCGCGAAGTATTTTCCTACGTTGGATTTGAAGTCGGGATATCATCAAATCTCGATTTGACCGAACGATCGTTACAAATCCGCGTTCAAGACGCTGTATGGGCATTTTGAGTGGGTGGTCATGCCTTTTGGCCTCACCAACGCCCCGACGACCTTCCAAGCGGCAATGACCAACGAGTTTCGTGCGATGTTGGACCGGTTCGTGCTGGTCTACTTAGACAACATTCTCATCTATAGCCGGTCATTGGAGAATCATCTTGAGCATCTTCGACGAGTGTTGGAGACGCTCCGCGGCGCCAAGTACAAGGCCAACCGCGACAAGTGCGAATTTGTCCAGCAAGAGCTGGAATACTTGGGCCATTTTGTCACACCAGAGGGCATCAGTCTGCTATCGGACAAGATTCAAGCTATCCAAGAGTGGCCAGAGCCGCGGAACGTCACGGATTTCCATTCGTTCCTTGGCCTTGGCGGCTACTACCAACGTTTTATCAAGGGATACTCGAAAATCGCGGCCCACTTGACCAAGCTTCAATGCGAGGATCGACCGTTTGACTTCGGAGAGGATGAGCGGGAATCATTTTTGGCTCTCAAAGCCGCGCTATTATCTGCGGAGGTCTTGCGCATATACGACCCGCTATTGCAAACGCGCGTCACTACGAATGCGTCCGGCTATGGCATTGGTGCCGTCCTCGAGCAATACGATGGCGTGGACTTGCACCCAAGCGAGTACTTCAACAAGAAAGTGCTCGTCGTACATTCCATTGATGATGCACGCAAGAAGGAGCTCCTCGCCTTCGTCCACGCGCTCAAGCGATGGTGGCACTTCCTCTTGGGTCGAAGTCAATTCCGATGGGTAGCGGACACACGCTCATCGACCAGTTCGACTTCTTTCTCGATCACATTCCGGGGAAGTCGAACCATTTTGCGGATGCTCTTTCACAGCGTCCGGATCATTGTACCGCGGTCTATTCAACCTTCGAGATCGACAACTACCTGCGGGACAGCTTCATCCGCGGCTACCAAGCCGACCCCGAGTTTCACGACAAGTACGCGAATTGCTCCTCTCCTAATCCGGCACCTTCTCACTACCGGATCCAAGAGGGGTACTTGCTTGTTCACACACGGGGGAAGGACCTTCTTTGCGTACCAAGTGACCCTCACTTGCGTACATGGCTTCTTGGCAAGTTCCACGATGCTCCCGCCACCGGACACTTTGGAGTCAATAGCACGATTGGCCGACTTCGCGAGCGATTTTGGTGGCCCGGCCTCTCGGCGACGTCACACGCTATTGCGAGTCATGCGAGGTTTGCCGATGCTGCAAATCCCGCAACCATCGTCCATACGGCGAGTTGCGACCATTACCAGTCCCTTTGCGGTGAAGTGAAGCGATTGCCATGGACATTACCGGCCCGTTCCCCAAGCACAAGACCGGAGTGGATGGGATTCTCACGGTGGTCGACCGAGTCACCAAGTTCGCCATGGTTTTGCCTTGCCGCTATCATGCCAAGGCACCGAAGTTGGCCTCTCTACGCCGGTTGGATTCGAACCAAGGGTTACCCCAAGGAAATTGTCTGCGACCTCGACACTCGGTTCATGTCCGATTTTTGGTTGGCGCTCATCAAACGATGGGGCTCATCTCTCAAGCCAAGTTCGGCTCGCCACCCCCAAAACGATGGCCAAACGGAGAGGGCACATCAGACCGCACGGGTTCTCCTTTGCACTCTCACCCGTCCCGACCAAAAGGATTGGGTTGAACGGCTGCCGGGTGTCGAGTTGGCATACAACTCGTCCATCCACCCGACTATCGGGATGTTGTCCTTCGAGTTCGAGGACGGCTCGCCGGTCACTTCTCTGTTGGACACAATCATTCCACGAACGGTCGAGAGCGACGACCATCTTATTTTCTTGCGTCGGATGCAAGAGTTACTTGTCAAGGCACGCGATCAGATGGCTAAGACGCAGCAACGCATGAGCCAACAAGCCAATCGCCAGCGTCTTCCTTGCCCATTCCGCGCCGGCGATCTCGTTTGGGTTTCCGCCGCGGAATTCAGCCTTAAACAAGATATCTCTCGCAAGCTCCTCCCGAAAATGAATGGGGCCCTGGCCGATCGTGGCACCCGCTGGGGATGCACTCGAAGGACCTTCCTTCACCATTCAGGTGCCCGCCCACTTGCCCGTCTACCCAGTCTTTCATTGCTCCAAGTTGGCTCTTTACACGCCAGCGGAACATGACGATTTTCCCGGGCGACAATCGCAAGACCCACCCTCTATGGACGATTTTCAGGAGGTCGGCGACATCATCTCCCAATGACGTTACGGCAATAGGCCAACCGAGTACTTGGTACATTTTTTGCGTACTACACTCACAAAGCTGACTGTTGGTTGACCCGTTGTCAGGACTGGTGAGTCCCGAATAACTTCCCATCACTCGAGAAACTGAATATGGGCAAACTGTGCACAACAGAGAAATCTGGAGTGAGGAAGCAGGAGAGAGAAAAGATAAAGGATTAGGCCGCAGGAAGGAGTGATGGCCTGGGGTGAGAACCACAGGAGGAAAGAACTAGCAACGACAAGTCAGCGAGCGCAAAAAACAGGGGCACACAGAACATAGCATGAGGCCGGGAGGACCGTTGGAATGCAATAAGACTAAGGCCAAAGGGCCCTTGAACCAGCAAATGCAGCAGGACAGCGAGAAAGGAATGAGGGAGTCGAGGGATGGGCGGCCCAGAGGCCGCGGGAAGATAGAGAACGAGGGGTCAACATGGGGACCACCTACACGAGCCTCGGGGTAAAGGCCCACGACCAAAGGAACCGGCGTGCGCAAGGCGCAAGAAAAGACAAGGGAGAGGGGTCACCATGGGGTGGCAAAACCCCAAGGGACGTGGGACACCTCGGGGAAAGGAACCCGGGGCCACGTGGGACTAAGTAAAAATAATGGCATCCGGGGCGAAATGTGTCGGGGACCGCCGGCGGGACTAAGTGTTGGGGACCGCCGGCGGGACTAAGTGTCGGGGACCACCGGCGGGACTAAGTGYCGAGGACCACCGGCGGGACTAAATGTCGGGGATCATCGGTGGGACTAAGTGTCGGGGACCACCGACAGGACAAGTAGCGGGGACATGTGAAAGTCCCAAGAAGAAACGGCGACACCGCATGAGGGAAAATAATAAAGGGAAAGAGCACCGTCAAGATCGAGATCTTGACGACCAAGAATATTAACACCACTAGTGCAAGCACTAGCGGTAGCAAATGGGAAGGTCGAAAAGAAAAGAAAAGGTAAAGAAACTTGAGGTGGGAGGCATGGGAGCAATCCGAAAAATCTCGGATCAGCCTCCCTCAAGAAAATCGAGTTAAAAGAGACCCCATGTGAAAAATAGCCCTCCGGGAGAAAATCGGAGTAGGAGGGGCCACTATGGGAAAAAAATAGGAGTGAAGGGAAGCTCCCATGGGCATGAGAAGGCCATTATTGCAGTCCGAGATATAACGGACTGCACCATGGGCATAGGAAGGGCCGAAACTCAGAGGAAGAGGCTAGAAAAGGGCCTTAATGGCCACTTGACACTTAGCATGCTAGAAAAAAGAGAAAAAAAAAAAAAATGTGGGAGAACAAAACAAAAAGAGTGAGAGGGAGTGACTAAGTTGGCCATCAGGTCCCTACTGTCCAAGAAAGGAGGAAAAGAAAAGAAAAGAAAAGAAAAGAGAAAAGGAAAGAGAAAAAAACCTTAACGGTAAAAAACGACCACTTGGGGAGATTCATCCGTGACCAGATTCATTCTGGAATATGGCGGTTACAAGGGACTTTGATTTTCTTTGATTTTTGCAGAGAAAATCAAAGAAAACCAAGGCCCCTTGCAACCGGAATAAAACGGATTACATGCATGAGAAGAAACACATGTTTTAGGTGCATCCGGAGCCAAAATCAAGTCCGGATGCACTTGGGAATTGACCGTTTCTTTTTCTTTTGAGTAGGGGCTAGTTGTAGGGCATTGGGGCTGGGAAATTGACCCCTATGGCAGTCCGAGTTGTAACGGACTGCATGGGGGAGGGAAAACACATGTTGTGGGTGCATCCGGATCCAATAATGAGCCCGGATGCACTTAAAAATTTAACGCTCTATTTTCTTTTAGCATGGGGCAAGTTGTGGGACTGTGGGTGTAGAAAAATAGCCATGGCTGCAGTCCGAGAAATTACGGACTGCATGGGGATGCCAAGGCTAAAGGAAAATGGTCTACGGCAAACTCGGAAGACTAGAAAGGAGCGATTTCGGCATGGGGTAAGTAAAGACAGTAAAACGACAACCGCGAGATGAAATTTCACGGCCTAGAAAAATCGGCACACATGTAGAAAGGATGGGACCACCAAGGGCAAGGGGCCCTAAAAATAAAAATGGGACACCATCCGGAATGTTGTCGGGGACCAAGCGGGTCCAAATAATAAAAATCAGAAAACGGGACGCGCGCCGGCGGGACTGCCGGCGGGACAAGAAAATGAAACTAGTATGGAGGAAAAGTGGCGGGGACTTGGGATGTCCCAAGAGGACCATGAGCAAGCACAAGGAATATTTGTGCAAACAAACGGCACCGTCGAGATCAAGGATCTAGACGGTGGAAAATATTAGCACCACTAGTACAAGCACTAGTGGGGCCAAGTGGGAGAGTCATGGGTGAAAAGAAAGCAAAATAATAGTGTTGGGAGGGTTGCCCAGCAGTCCGAGATATCTTAGACTAGCTAGGCATGAGAAAATAGAGCCTCAAGAGACCCAACATGAGAAAAAGGCTGCCCTTAGAAAATCAGAGCAAAAGGGGCTCAAAATTGGACAAACGGGAGCAAAGTGGAGCCGTCTAGGAGCATGGGGGTGCCATTGTTGGAATCCGAGATGTAACGGCCAAGTAACAGCCATGAACCTGGCCTTGAATGAGGTCCTAGGGCCTAGAAAGAGGGTGCGCAACAATTTGACACTTGTCACAACTAAAATAAAAGAAAAAGAAAGAAAAATGAGAGAGAAATGAGGAAGAATGAGACAGAAAGGGAGAAAAGAGTGGAGGAGAGTGTGCCTGCCTATTGGGACCTGCACAGTAGGGACTGGCAGGTCCCAACTGTGACCTCATCCCTCCTAGAATAAGGGAGGGTAATCCGGAATGTAGAGATATGGCCCTTGGGGGCCATATCTCAATAAAATTTGAATTAAAAAGCAGAAAATGAGAGAAATTGCAAAAAGGAAGTGGCCGATTTTCTTTTGGACCATGGATCCGAAATCAGATCTCATGGTGGAGAGAAACTAGTCATTCTTTATGGGCCAACTCAAAACGGCTACCTCCGGAATGAGGTGGCAGCCCAAAATGGAAAGAAACAAAAGAAGGAAAAGGACGAAACTTTGCATTTGGCCCAAAAAGAGAGCCAGATGCACCAAAAATTGAAGAAGTGAACTTAGGGGTTCAAAATTGAAGCAAGGACTACTAGGGGGTAGCATGGATCATTGCTGGCCTTTGATCTCAGCCAGATCTAAGGCTGAAAATGTGCCGTCACATGGAAAAATGCTCCGGCCTACCCAAGGGAGGCCGAAATTTGAAAAAATTGAGAAAAAGGTCCACAAGGCCTTTTTCTTTCAAGTATTGTTGCCCCTTGGGCATTAGGACCCAAGGGGGTAGCATTTGAGCAATGGAAAAGAGACCGAAGTAGGCCAAGAGGCAGTCCGAGTTGGTACCAGCCACTCGGACTGCATGTACTTGGCCAAAATAAGGCCCAGGTACCTCCAGGAGGGCCTAGTAGGGGAATTTTGCCTTGGGGGTACCTCGGTTCACCCCAAGGCACTTGGAGAGGCTCATGGGCTGGCCGGATTGCTGGTTTCAGCCTACATAAGCTGAGGATGCAGTCCGCCACTCTCACATTTGCACGAGGAGTGCCCATGCTGCCCAAGTGAGCTCACAGGAGCACCTTTGCACTTGGAGTGAGGAGAGAGGAACCCATGCTAGTAGGAGAGCTTAGAGGAGACTAGGAGGCAGTGGGAAAAACGCTAGAGGATAGTGATGATGGGAGAGACACTTGGGAGGTGATCCGCCATATCCCCCCCTGGGGGTAGGAGATAGAAAGGCTAGGGGGAGCCCCATTAGCCCTCCTAGAGAGGAGGACTCCATAGCCTTGATGATGAGAGCTTGAGGCAACTTGGGAAGAGGTGAGAGAGGAAAAAGAGGGGCTTGGAGAAGAAGGAAATCATAGCCAAGAGGGGATTGTGCAAGGAGTGAAAGTTTCATCAAGGAGACACCATCATCAAGGAACCAACAAGGTGAGAGGAAGGAAGATACTTCTTCATCTTCTTCTTCTTCTTCTTCTTATCCTTCCTCTTCTTCTTCTTCCTCTTCTTCTTCTTCTTCTCCTCCTCCTTCTTCTTTTTCCTCTCTCCCCTTCATCTTCTACCTCTTCATCTTCACCTTCCTTCTCTTCACTTTCATTTCTCTTTGTTTTTTTCCTCTTCTTCTCCATCTCCATCTCCCTCATCTCTCTCCCTTTCTCCTCCATCTTCTTTTACTTCATCTTCTTCCTCCCATGGGCTACTCAAACTCTCGTCTTCCACTTGCACACTAGGGGGTAGTACTCCGATTCTTTTCTACATAATCCATGATGCAATCATAAAGATTTGGGCTCTCCAAACTTGTGTTTTTCACTCCCACATTAGTAGGTGGTATAGCGCTACACTCATGGATGCTTCTTGATGCAATCTTGATGATTTGGGCTCTCCAAACTTGTGTTTTTCAGTCTTACACTAGTAGCTAGTATAGGGCTACACCCATGAATGATCCATAATGCAATCATGGTGATTTGGGCTCTCCAAACTTGTGTTTTTCACTCCCACACTAGTAGGTAGTATAGCGCTACACTCATGGATGCTTCTTGATGC